GAACCTGATGCAAATACAATGTTAGTATGTATGCAGGTAAAACAGTATTCAATTGGATGGACGGGGAGAGAGAGAAGGTGAGAGTGGAAGGAAGACTATCTAGTTGGTCTATCCTACATGTGATGCCTGAGGCATCCAACAATCTTGTTCTCCGATCCCTTTGTGATAGCAACTATAAAGGGCCACTGCGCAAAAACGCCATCAATATCAGAATTGACAATCGGACATTACATGCCTTACATCACCGGCTATTCGCCGACTGTGATCTCGTATCGCAAGGGCTACAACCAATAATAGCAGGAGCGAGGGGCTGTCATCAAGACCAAGTGGTGCCTGTGACCTCATTGCCTCAAGACCACTCATTACAAGATATAATTTTTTCCCGTTTGTTATTCATGTTTGTTCACTTGATTTGTATATTTGCCGATGATGTCGGAGGTCTACACGGTGTGCGTGATGTGCTATCAAACTGGGTGCGCATCGGATCTGCATCTTCTCTCCCACACTCTATACGACCGAGGGTGATTATTGTCACCACTACCACAACCCAAAGTGTCACTCAGGATGTACTTGATGAAACATACCTTCTTTTTGATATCCGTTCTACTGAACCCGAGTTCCTTCGGGCATTTTCCGATATCCGTTTTTGCCGTCTACCATCAGCCGAGCTTTCTTCCGATGCCCGCTTTCTATCCCATAGCGCAGATATTTCACGCCAGCTTCATGACACTCGATTCACTCGTATAAAGCATAAGTTCATGTTTTCTGCAACTCATCTCAGTGACCTCTTTAACCTAGCTACACGAGAAATATGCTTCTCCCCTCTTAGGGAGTTTGACTTTGTGGCTGCTACAAGACAACAAAACCCACTTGATGGAGCGTTTAGTTCCCACCTTATCGACTTTCTTCGATTAAGTGGAAAAGCCACAATTCCTTATGATGGCATAATATCACATATTGCCTCCGCTATCCTAATGGATGCATATCTTCCTGGGATGTATTGTACGTGATCCCTATAACGGAAGTTGATTTATAGCTAATACTGATTTAGTGTTTTCCCCTCTAACAATTTTCCATAAACTATACTATGACATATGCTATATTGCGCACCGATCGGTATATAGTACCGATGAGCTCGCGAGGGCCCAGTGAGAAAGAATTGGAAGTCGTCTTGCGTTACTCTTCGAATATATGAAGGGTGGATCTTCTTGGTCAGCAAAAATTCATGATGAAAATCTGAAAGATCAAACCAAGTACGTACTGGGGTTGGTTACGTTGCAATAACGTAATTCCCAAGCGAGCTGGCCACCCCACCCACCCTATTAATTTTAAACGCATTTATTTCAACCAAAACTCCATCAAATTCAATCAGCTAAATTCTAGGTCTATCTGGAT